AATGCGAAGAAAATGATTTCACCTTGGAACGATTGCATAAAAATTTGGAATTAAGCTCAACTCACCCTCTGCTTTATAGTTTATGTCATGCCGATGAACCCTGATTGTTCTTAGGGGTGAAAACTACCCCTAATTTTCAAAAATTGTAAAATAATAGTACAAATCTTAAGATGAGTGAAATTTGGTTTGGATTAGTTAAATAGTGAGTTTTTTATACTTTAAATACAAATTCATACATTTTTAACCCTTAAAAATCAATTGTTATGAGTGCTATTGGTGAAAACAATTTTTTGCCAAAATTTTGCAACTTTTCAACTGTTGAAAATCACCCTTTACAACATTGCAGTTTTTATAAACTAATTTATAAGATATAAATTGAAAAAAGTAGAATTAAATACAAAAAAAATTATCAACATAAAAAGGCACCATATATTCTTATACATTTACATAAATAGTTGAAAATATTTACATTTATAGGTAAAACAATTATAATATTAATTTTATTCGTCATCAATTACATCTTCATCGTGATATATGTCATCCTCATCTTCTTCAATTCTTGGTGGACTGTTATTGCACCCTTCACCTGAGCACCCAGAACAAGTAGAGTTACAGTATAAACCAACTTTTCTGTACCCATATGAAACGCCGCATCCTTTTTTGCATTGGCAAAAAATAATTTTCAAAAATTTATCGGGTTCAGGTTGTTTGTTCATGCGTACGGGTAATAACAAACCATCTTTGGAATACCAATCTGTTGCTCTGATATTTTCATTGCCAAGCCATAGACATATGAGCAGATGTTTTATTCTGTTGTATGGGATTTCAAAATAAGAACGCTTAAAATTTCGAATGTATAACGCCCCACTAGCTAATATACCGGTTTTGTAGACTATTATGCTCCGAAATGTACTGTACTATATTAATGGAATTTTCCGGAAAAAAATTAACTGATTTTTTTAACGTATTTCCTTTAATTTTTAACGATAGAGTGTTTCTTCAAAAACGATTTGTAGAGGTTTTTAATAGCTACAAGGATCTGTGAATTAAATCTTTTTGGAACCCTTGGTTTTTAAATGGGGTGAGTTTAAAGGGCTCGAAAAATATGGTGCTTGATCGTAAATCGATGATTTAAACTGCTATATCTCGCCAAATATTCATTGTACAACAAATCTAAATAAAGGATAATTTTAGTCATTAAAAAAGCTACAATTTGGTAATTTTTATTTTTTTCATATATTTAGTATTTTCGGGCATATTTAAAAAAAGAAGGGTAAAAAATATGAAATTGTAAATCGTTTCTCGCTTTAAGCTGTACTTTTTCTAAAACTAAGCATTTTAAATGGGTCAAACTTTTTGGACGTATTAACAATACATCTACAAAGGGAATTGCAGAAGGGTGAAGATCGATTTTAATTATGGGGGGTGGTTAGGGTGTTGTTTTCCTCGATTTTTTCGTAAAAAATGAGGTATTGACCTAATTTTTTTATGATAGGTCTATTTATGCTCTTTAAAAAAGGTTTTGTGAGTTTTCTTCCAAAAATACATCATTTTCCCGATATTTGACTTTAAATCTTTCAAATTTGGCATTTGAAGAAAACCGCTGAACATTGATATTGTATTTGTAATTGTATTTGTCTTTTTAAAAGCTACAAATTTGTTCTCTACAATTTTTTTGATAAAATGCACCATTTTCGAGTTATTCGCGAAAAATCGATTAAAAACGTGGATTTTTTCGTCTAAAAGTTGTTACTTTCAATCGCGAATAACTTGAAAAATATCATTTTATAAAAAAAAATGTATAGCACATTTTTTGTTTAGAATCACTTTTCTAATCGAAACCTGTAGTTGAAACGTAAAAAAAAATTTCACCCCGCAGATGGGGTGGCAACCACCCCCTAGGCTTTGGCGCACTTTGGTTCGATATAGATTTTAATTCTTGGGCTATTACCTACCTTCTGTTAAATTTGAAGTCAATCCACGCCGCACGAAAAAATTGCGAGGTGAAATGCTACATTTCCTGGACTATAACTGGTTTGACAGCATAATAAAATCGTAGATTTATGTGTAGCTTTTAATTTTTATGAGTTCAGAATCCAGCAGCCCGCTGAAGTATGGGATTTTTTATAATGTAATTATTTGACAATCTTTTGTTGGCCAACCAGCTACAGCAGAATTGAGCCGAAATACATTATATTCCTATGTTCCGAATTTATTTCGTTCAATCTGTATATATATATATATATATATATATATATATATATATATATATATATATATATATATATATTATACAATAGATAATGCTAATAATAAAGTTTCACGTGAGACTAGAATTGCATCATTGCTCAATCCTAACTCCATATCTACTCTAATTAGTGTTAGATTAAATTAACTTAATTGAACTTCTCCAATGAGACATCTCTTGGTATTTTTTAATACTGATGGTATGGTATTTGATATGGTATAAAATATAGATTAAAAATAACGAATCAGTGGAGATCTGCAAAATTTAGTAGTACACGAGTATTCAGGACACTATATCTAAAATGATTTGTGATAGGTACATTAAAGCAGGATGGATGTAATGGAATGAAGCAATTATTAAGTCCCAGCGGGAGAAGCTTAGACTTTAAATATGGATCCGTGGAATAATATTGGTATGACCTAAGATGGAAACTTCTGAAGAAATATATTAGGGGTGAAATATAAAATATAAAGGATAAGGGGATGATGACCTAAAGGAAAATTTAACATTAAATGAAGCCAAAGCATAGATTTTTTATTTTTCTATTTTTTTTTTGGTAAAAAAAAGAAAAACTGTTCATAAAAAGTTGTAAGTCTGATATTTCTCGGATAAACAACTATTTAACATAAAACATGTTAAATGGCAATAGATAAATGGTGTTTATTTTTGGATAGTATGAATGGATTCAGAATAAAAAAAATAGGGTACTGTTAAGATTTATGTAAGCTCGTGGCTAATTTGATTAAAGTGGGGGGAAATGGTTCGTCTGATAAATACAGTATTACTTCTTATTTCAAAATCGTTGATGCCCTATTACATCCTCAGGTGTAACACATGTCTGTCACCACTACCACTTACGGTTTTAAAAATTACTTATAAAATACATCTTCTTCTTCTTCTTCTTTTTATGTAGACATAAGTAAGTAAGTTGTCGTTCCATCGTTTTCGTGATGTTTCTACTGATTGTCTTCCTATTGGGGAACCGTCTCTTGCCGTCTTTGCTACCCTATTTGTTGTCATGGGGCTTACAATATGATCGTTCCATTCTACTCTTCTATTTCTTACCCAATTCTTGATGTTCTCCACATTGCATCTACGTCATATATCTGTACTTTTATCTCTATCCAATAGTGTCATGCCATCAATGTTTCATTTCTGCTGTTTTCATCTCTGCTGTTTCTAACATCATTTTTGTCCTCTCTGTGTCAGGTTGTGTTTTATCTACATGAAATGCATGTAGGTATATAATATATTCAATTGGAGAGAAGCTGGGAGAAATATTAAGTAAAAATACTGGACTATAAAAGGCACAGTGATAAAGATACTTAGGGTCTTTTGAGTTTAGAACGTACAGATTTTGAGTTTTCACTTATGAATTCTAGAATTATGAATTACACCTTTATAAAAATATGTTCTACAATAAATTTCTTGTCAAAACAAATATTCATATAAAACACTTATGAATTCTAGAATAATGAAAGTATACGTTTATACAACTTGTCAAAACTTAGGAATATTCATATAAAACATTTGTACTCAAATTCTCTTGTTATATTCAGAGATGATAGACAAGCCCAGAAAATGCTTTTTTGTTTACAAAAAAATAATCAGTCACACATTTATGTCCATAATTTGGAAGGTATTTAGGTATACAAATTGAAGTATTCATTCTATTTATGAATCGTATAGAACGTAAAATTAGTATTATCTTTGATATAATAAAGTATTTCTAGTGTAGTATCTCTTCTTTCAGAGCGATCTTGAGGAAAAAGTTAACTGCTGCAGAGGCCAAATTCCACATTACGATTATTCATACTGGTGCTAGGCAATAGTTGTAGGCCAACATTTTAATTTATGACTAAACGGTTAAAACAAATAAAATATATTGTGAAACTAGTTTTAACTGCAATAAGTACTGAGGGTTCTAACACTCGCATAAGACTTTTCAGCTAATCTGTTAGCTCGAACGGCAGAACTCTATATTATAGTAGATTTTAAAACTATAAAAAGGTTTTCAATACGACAAGAATTGTGACTTTCACTCTAGTTCCACTTAAGTCTTTCTGAGCTACATCTGGAGTTAAGCTGTCTTCCCAAGTTTCTCTTGATGTCTGTAACATTCAAATTGAGAGATGTCTCAATAGTAGAGATAGTAAAACATCTTATTTGTGTCACATCTTTAGACAATATAATCGAAATTATATAGGGAGGTAACAAGCTTTGTGGTCAAAAACATTCAAGACTGAACTGAAATTCGAAATCCATCATAACTATTTCATATGGTAGAGTTAAGGAAAACAATAATGGAAGGAGAGGAAAGCATAATTATTGAATTATCTCGTTTATTATTACCTTTATGACATGAAGGTACATAAGCAAAAATGAAGGAAGTTTTATTTTATACAATCTTTTTCATTTTTTGGCTAAAATTAATATTTATTATTGTTAATAAAAATTGGGCAGCTCGCCACGCAAGTTTGAACCTTTTTTTCGTCTAACTTGACTGGGCTATTAGGATTGTTTACAACATCTAAATCATTAATCGTGGATGCAATAACGAACCAATATGACATGAAAATTTGTCAACTAAACAGAAATTAATAAATATGTATGCCCTCGACCGACTTGAAAACCTTCGATACAAAGTTCATCATGTTCTTATGGTCGTCGCCTATGAGGAATAAACTACTTAATACCATCGGTATAAAAATAACTATAATACGTAAATAAAAATAAATAGAATATTACTCACTTTTGGAGCTGATCTCCCAAAGATTCAGACATGTCAGGTTTTGTTGCATTGTATATGTCTTTAAGTTCAACATCGTTTTTATATCCATATTTAAAGAACGGAAGAAACCACCTGGAAAAAGATAGAAAAAATATTGTTGAATTGTCATTCGTTTGTAACATTCGAAATAAAAAAAAAAACAGTTGAAAAAATAAATTTGTATTATTGCTTGAATTTTGCACCCAATATTATTAACAAGCATTCAACTTGTAAGTCGTAGATTTTCACACACCTGAAGGGTGACTTGAAGTAGCACCGGAAGTCGATATTTTAATTTAGAGTCATTTTGATTCATTTTTGGTAATCTTTTGGTAAAAACTATATAATCGAAAGTGATATAAAGACTAGAAGTAATAATATATCGTTTGTATAAAAATTTTTCACCTTTAATACCATCTTTGTATTATAAGTTCTCATTGGATACCTCATTTTGCCATTGTATTTATTCTAATAACGGAGGAGTTGAGTTCACTGACAGACGGATAGATGAGTAATTTAACATGTTCACAATTGTTTTAATGTTGTAAAATGGGTGAAAACAAAACATACGCGATAGTATTTAGGGCACACGACCTGAAATTGTCAATTGCACGGGACAACACGTCTAGTGTAATAAATATTTTATACAAGTTGCATACATTATTTTTTCTATGTCTATATAAAAATAAAAAAATATTTAAGTGGTACTAAGTTTGTCAAAATAAAAAGCACCCTAACAAAATATTTAATAACGAATTAGCACTATTGATTAACGCCAAGAACATACTACTTCTTAGTGCAATATAGTTGGTATGTTTATATTGTCATTTTCTTCAAGGTGAAATATTTATTTTATAACGCTAAGTTTCGTCTGAAATTTAAAAAAAAAAATCCACAAACCTAATCCTATAAGATACGATGTTAAACAATTAAGAGATGATGACATAAAGCAAGAAGTACGGGAATATCTTAAGAACAACATGTTTAAGTCAGAAGCAGTTAATGATGTTGACACAGTTGACAGTACCTGCGACCGAAAAAGACAGAAAAGAAAAAACCATGGATGACCGACGGTATATTACAGATGGTCGACAGAAGAAGAGAATCCAAGCGGAAAGACTACGTTGCATATCAATTTCTAGACAAAGAGATAAAAAAAAGCTGTCAGAGACGCTAAAAATAGAAATCTGGAAGAACAGTGTGAAGAAATCGAGATATTGGAACGTAAACACGATTCCTTCAACCTCCACAAAACGATCAAAGAAGCAGAAGGTATCTATAAATCAAAAGACCGGGACACTTAACAGACGCTCAAGGAAATCCAATAGTTGATATTGAAGAAACAAATACAACATGGATGGACTATGTGACAACAACATTTGAAGACGATAGGAATGTCACTATCACACAAAATAAAAGTGATGATACCGGACCACCTATTCTCGAAGCGGAAGTAGAAGCTGCTATAAACAACATTAAGGAGGGAAAAGCCGCTGGACCAGACGAGTTCTACTCAGAATTTTTGAAAATTATGGATAAAGACGAAGTAAAAAGATTTACCTTGATCTTCAGCAATATATACCAAAGTGGAAAAATACCGCAACAGTGGCTAAGATCAACTTTTATAACAATCCCTAAAAAACACAATGCCAAAAAATGTGAAGATTATCGAATAATAAGCCTTATGAGCCATCTTCTGAAAACTTTTTAAAAATTATACATAAAATAATATATAAAAAGTGTGAAGAACATATGACAACACACAATTCGGCTTCAGGGATACATTGGGTACTCGAGAGACATTTTTTGCAATACAAGTTCTCTTTCAAAGAGTAGCGTTTTATATTTAATGTGTATATAATAAATTTTTGTAGTACGCCCCTGGTTGTTTATCTCAAGTTGTAGCAAGTTTTTTTTTATAAATTTCGACGGAGAAGTTAAATTTATGTTTTAAATATATTGATATTCGAGCTAGGATATTTCAAGTTTTTTTGACGAGATCAGCTAAAAATATATGTTTTTATCTTTGTTACAATGTTAGGTAAAAACTCCGGTTTAAACTGCGTGTTGTTTTGACCCAGTTTGAAGGTAACTATTTCAACATGTTTTATCATGAAAACGATTATATTACATGAAGTCCCCTAATATTGTTGTTGTAAAAAAGAGGTTTTATTGTCTTTCGTCGTTAATAACGAATATCAAGGGGAATTTTATTTGTTTAGGTTTTGTAGACGCAAGGGGGAGATAGATATTTGGCGTTTGAATTTGTAAAATTTAACGCAGAAGAGAGTCCAAGAAAAGATTTGAAACTGGGCAGACGGGTGACAATGTAGAAAGTCGTTAAAGAGACCGGCCAAAAACTGTTGAAAAGAGTAGACTATATTCTATGTAATATGTCAAATTTGAAGAGTAATCACTATTTTCATTTTTCTAAGTACCTAAGGGATTTGTGTTGCCTGCAAAAATTTTCGAAAGATAACCACATGTTGCCGTTGTGTCCAGTTTTATGTATTCCTATTTTTTAAGAAGCCCATTCCAAAGTTTTGTGTTCCAAATTTTCAACCTCAAGTTTGTAATATTTGTCCTAAGAAGCCGTCCCAGAGTATCTCTCACAGTATGGAAATAGATTTGATCGTGTGGCAGAGAAGGTAACCCCAAAAATCTTAGTGTGTTTAGTGAAACCAAGGTAACCTTTTTTTGTTTTAAATTTTTGAAGGAAAATAAACATTAAAATAATAATTGCTTTCATACAATTTAAAAGTTTTAATAATTAATATTGTACTTTGAAAATAAGGCTATTATCGAGCACAAGTTAATTAAATCAAGCCCAAGTACTTTCGCTTAAAAAAGCATCTTCAGGGGCATTTCGTCAAAATAAGAACTATCCGGCAAGCGTAGGATGTGGAAACATTAAAACTAACATAAATTATACAAAACACTACACTAAAACGAGGACAAACAGTTTAAAATTAGACAAAATTACTTCTACGCTACATTCTCTGTCAGTTTCTGGAGGGATAATTTAAACTGTTTGTCCTCGTTTTAGTGTAGTGTTTTGTATAATTTATGTTAGTTTTAATGTTTCCACATCCTACGCTTGCCGGATAGTTCTTATTTTGACGAAATGCCCCTGAAGATGCTTTTTTAAGCGAAAGTACTTGGGCTTGATTTAATTAACTTGTGCTCGATAATAGCCTTATTTTCAAAGTTCATTTATTCGAGCATTCAACCTCATTTCATTCATTAATTAATATTGTAAATCTTAGAGTGTGGTTATGCTCTCAATTTGATTTGTTCTCCGTTGTAAGTAAGATTAAGATTTTATGTTGACAGCTAGCAGCTAGCTTTATTTTTTTTTTTGACAATAATTTGCTTTGGTTTTTTAAAGAAGATTAAAACCTCTCTATGAATGTTTTCATTTTAAAGATATTTCTTTATTTGTAATAAATTATTTCTGACACAGTTTCATAACCAGTACAACAGTTAATATTTCAGTAACATTTGTAAATTTTTGTAGCAATCTCTTTTGTAAACAAATAACATGTAAGCTTTTGTTAATTTGTATTATGTTATATTATATAGTATGTTTCTTGTGTAAAATCTGTATTTTTGAAACTGTTTGTGTGTGACAAAAATAAATGTTTGATTTGTTTCTCTGATTATTTTGTTTTTAAAATCTCCTAACCTTTGTTGTGTGCTTACTTTTTTTTAGGAAAGAAGAGCCTTTTTTCTTTCCTTTAGCACACTAGGATCCTTCAAAGCAGCGCCCGTATCTTAAATTGCTAGAAGCCCTTTTTCGTTGTCTTTATTGTCCAGTCCATATACATAATATAATTTTTAATCTCCACCTGATACACTTAATATTGAATACCGACTATTTACCACTGAATACTGACTACTGAATACTGTCCATTCTCCTCCAAATCACAGAGTATTTATATCATTTCAATGTTCACGAATATTCTTGAAAGAAAATATATTCGAATCCTTCTATTTCAGAGATATTTGAATGTTCGCGAATATTTTACTACGAAAATAGGTTAAATTCTTTCTATTGACGTCTTATTTTAAAGTTCTAGATAATTATTTACTTTTCTATCGAGAATTTTATAGAAACTTAAGCTTTTTAGATCAGAATGTAAACTTATATATAAATTAAACATCTTAAATTAATAAATAACACTATTTTAAATCCATAATTATTATTTCCACTGTCTCTTATTCGCAAAAGTTCCCATAACCAAATTTATTTCAGTGTATATTTGGTTGCCTATATAGGTGGCGCACTCAAATATATTTATATCATAATTATTAAAATAACCAAATTCATTGCAAAATAAAAACTTTTTAAAATTCCACAAGGAAACTGAGTTCCTGTAGCTGGCTGTATACCATATATCACAAAAAAATTTTGATAACAGTTGACCTGTAGATAACAGAGTTGTTATCAACAGGTCCTCGTAGACACTTCGTCTCAGGACCTTTTCACTCATGTAGAGTCATACGCCGCCATGTTACCTATCCAACGGTAACTTAACCATCACAAATTAGAAATACTAATAATGTAAAACAACTTCAAATTCATAACATTTAAAGGGTTTTTTACCCATATATTTTGGTGGCTACTAGCATGTACAACCGTTTGCACTGATGATGGATTGTTTAATCCGAAAACGTTTTGCAATGTGTTTGTGATAGCCCGTTTGAGGCATTTTTATAAACCTTTTATAAAGGATTTTAAACAAAATTTTTTTTAAAAACTTTTTAAACTTATTATTATGCTAATTTCTTAAGAATGCTCTCTTATAAATACTTTTTATAATATTCTCGAGTAAATAACTTATAAATTATTTATTTTATCACCAGTTAAGTTCATTCTATGTTACTTTCGTTTCTCCTATATTTAATATTATCTCAATACCCCAAAATTAATTTTTAAAGAAATAATTGATTTATTATTTTTTTAAATATTAATTTTCTTATTCACACACATTCGTAAATATAATAATTAATATAATTATATAATTAAATTTCTTATTTAAAATTGCTCTATTAAGTACGCCTATGTTCCCTGTCTAAGTCAACTGTTATGT